GCCGCCGAGACGTTCGGGAAGGCTTCCTTCGTTTTTCGCCTTCCTGCGGCTCGGCGACTGCGGCAGCGAGCTGGAGTTTTCTGCTTTTCCTTGGCCGGCCACCGCCTTTTGACCTCAAGCCAAGCGGTGGTGAGCCAGTTTCTTGACAAGGACGCGGTGAGAGCGAGCAGTACCACGGCCAGCGGCTTTGGCAAGTACCTTGTGCAGGCCTTTGAGCGCGAGTTTGACTTTGAGTCGCGGTTGTTTGGCCGCGCGGCTGCCGAAAGCAGCTGTTACCTGACTACCTCGGTGCCTGGCTCAGTTGACCTTCTGCCACGACGTCCTCTACCACGACACCCTGGCAGCAGAGGGAGCGAACCCGGCCGAGCCCGAGGGGTTAGAGTTCACCATGGAAAAGGAGGACGACTCGGATGGCGACCTCGATCTGGAACCCTTCAAGGGCGAGATCACCCCAGCCGTGCGGCAAGCGGTGAGGCGAGTGCACGAGGCGACGGGCCACCGACCTGAAAAGCGCCTGGCTAGGGCTCTTCTTTTGTCAGGCGCCCCGGCCGCAGCAGTGCAGGCAGCCAGGGAGTTGAAGTGCGATGTGTGTGTGCTGAGCGTCGTGCCCCCCGAAGCCGCCGAGTTGGAACGCTACCCCCTCCGCGCTTTGTGGGGGAACAGGTGCATATTGATCTTTTGGTTGCCGAGGACGCTGTTGGCCGCCCTTTCGTGATTGCCCATGCGACCGATGCGGTGTCTAAGTTTCAGCAGGCCCGGGTGCTCAAGGATAAGAGTGCAGGCGCGGTTGTCGACTTTATGGCAGTTGCCTGGCTCCCGCTCCTAGGGCCGCCCAAGACGCTGATAGCTGACCAAGGCAGGGAGTTCATCGCCACGGAATTTCAAGACTGGTGCTCGAGCCATAGCATTTTGCTGTGGCACGCGGCCGTACAGGCCCCGTGGCAGAATGGGATTGCAGAAAGGTCCGGTGGGACTTTGAAGGCGTTGCTGTCAGCGGTGGGGCCGACAAGGCCGTGATCGGGGAGCGAGACATGCCCACGCCCTGGGCGAGGCCGTGTCAGCGTATAACTCAGACCCCGCAGCAGATGGTGTATCGCCCCTCCAGTGCGTGACCGGCAGGCAGCCCTCAGCTCAAGGATCCGTGTTGAACAATTTCGCGGGCCACCTTGCTGAGACGGTCTGATCGACACCGACCCCAACCTGATGCAGCGTTTGGCCTTGCGAGAGTCAGCTCGCATTGCCATGGTCAGGTTGCACTACAGCCAGAGTATTCGGAAAGCCAAGCTAGCCCGGAGCCGAGAGCCGAGCACAGCCGAGCCACCTTCACCGGGAGATGTTGTTTACTGTTGGCGGGCCCAACGGGCGACTCGACGAGGTGACCCTCGAACTTCGACCTCCTCGAGGCGACGCCGGCTTGAACTTCGACGTTGGCACGGCCCTGCGGTGCTCATTGCTCTGGAGGCTTCTGGCGAGACGGGCTTCCCGACCAATGCCTTCCTCTCTTTCCGCGGGCAGGTGACGAAGTGTGCCTTGGAGCATGTTAGGCCTGCTTCTTCGCTTGAGCAGTTGGCTGCCGGGACATGGGAGGAGGCAATCAAGGAATTGGTGCAGGGCATCGAATCTACCCACAGCCCCGTTGGGGCCGAGTTGCCCGCAGTTCGTGAAGATGATGAAGCAGCGCAGTCGGATGATGAGTTGGGTTTGTTGGCTCCTGTGATTGTGGCGCCACTTGAACGGCCGCCTGCGCCCGAGCAAGCACCCTCAACGACGACTTCTTCGACAGCCGCTCCCGGCACTCCGGTTGGTCGTCTTCTTCGCAGCGGGGACCCTGAACAACGTTCTCTACTACAACGCCCTGTGTTACAACGTGCACTCAGCCGAGCACGCGGGCAAGGCCTTGATATGGAGTTAGGCCAGCTGGCTTTGAGTCGCGGCCAGCCCGCCGATTTTCAAGCTGAGTTGCGTGAAGCAATGTTGCGCGGCACGCGCCGCAAGAGTTCTGAAGCTGGTCTGGGAGATCGTGACGACCCCTCCAGGCGATCGAGTGTGGAAGGTTCCGCGCGCGGTGGTGACCCAAGCGGGCAAGAACAGCAACGGTACTTCGAGGACCTTCAACCGAATCTCCTGGGCTTCCTTTAGCTGGTGCCGAAGCAGCGGTACTTCAAGGACCTTCAGCCGAATCTCCTGGGCTTCCTTTCGCTAGTGCCGAAGCAGCGGTACTTCAAGGACCTTCAGCCGAATCTCCTGGGCTTCCTCTGCGAGGTGGTGGGCATGCGTCTAGCCAGCGTGGGGCTTTTGAGGCTATGGTTCTGAGCCACGAAGAGATCGAGAGTCTAGCTTTGCCTAGCAGCCGAGTGAGTGCATCCTTTGCTTCGTGTGCAAGCGCAGGTGGAGCAGGATCGTTCAGGTCAAGCGGCCCGGGCGACCTTGGAGGAGGAGCGAGACCATGGCACTTGGGACGGCAGGTGGTCTCTTCCAGCTCAGAGTCAGTTTCAGCTTCTGCAAGAGCAAGCCGTCACGCTCCCATGTGGCGTGGGCGAGGACCACGAGGTTTCAGCGGCCACGGCTCGCAAGGAATACCAATGGAGCAAGATGACTTCTCGTGAACGTGAGTTGTGGACCAAGGCGGCAGAGAAGGGCTGGAAAGCTTATGTTGAGAATGAGGCCGTTTCCATTTTGGGGCCTCGCGAGTCCGCTTCCATTCGGCGGCAGCTGGCGCAGAAAGGCGAGCTGGACCGCATTTTGGTGCCGAGGTTCGTGCTGACTGATAAAGCGGATGGCCTCCGCTCTGAGGCGAACCCAATGGACATTGATGCGTCGGCGAGGTTGGTTGTGCCCGGGTTCAAAGACCGAGCAAACCTGAATGGCGAGGTGCGGCGAGACGCTCCCACCGGGGCTCGTTTGACGCAGCACCTGCTGATGTGTATCATCGCGGACAAGGGTCGCTTCTGGAAGTTTCTGAGCGCCGACGTGAAGTCTGCCTTTTTGAAGGGGGATCCGTATGTCAGCAGGGAGCTCTACATCACAAAGACCAATGAGCGCAACGGCCCGGGAATTCCAATCCCTGACGGTTGCTTGGCCAAAGTTTGCAAAGGAATTTTCGGCTTGGCCGACGCTCCTCGAGAATGGTGGCTTCGCCTGGCTCGTTCGTTGGAAGCCAAGGGTTGGACACGCAACCCTCTCGACCAGGCCTGTTGGTTTCTTTGGGACGGGCCGGAGCGCAAGGAGCTCAAAGGCATGGTCATAAGCCATGTTGACGACCTCTTGACGTGCAGGCCGAGGAGTCTTTGCAAGCAGTTGGGTCCGAGCTGGGCTTCAGGGAGGTCTCTGCCGACGACTTTGTTTGGTGCGGCAAGCGCTTTCGCCGTCGAGCTGATGGCGCCGTCACCATAAGCATGGAAGCCTACCACAAGAACCTCAAGCCGATCTACTTGACCAAGACGCGGCGGAGCGACTTGACAGCCTCCCTTGCAGCCGACGAACGCCGCAAACTACGTTCACTGCTGGGCAGTTTTCAGTGGCTCGTGGCCCAGCTTCGCTTTGACTTGCAGTTCCCGGTGTCCGCCCTGCAAGGAGAGACGCCCACCGTGGGGACGATCCTTCGGGCCAACGCTCTCCTCAACGAGTTCCTGCTGAAGCC